AAAAAAAAAAAAAAAGTGGAGCTGGGTTTGACGGAACCCAACCAGAGTTCTACCGAACCCAACAGATGGGTTCCATCGAACCTGAGCTAGGTGCCATCGAACCTAAGCTGGGTTCCCTTGAACCCAGATTAGTTGGGTTTGAGGAAACCCAGCAACACAAAGAAAGAAGAGGAAGAAAGAAAAAGAAAAAAGAAAGGACAAAAATGGATCAAAAGAGGGGAAAAAGATGGATCAAGAAAGGGAGACAAGGGTATTAAGGTAAATTTGTAGTTTTTTATTTTTTTATTACAAATATAAATGTTAATCAAATTTGACTTATGAGTTAATGTAAACATGTCATAAAAAAAAAGGGTCCAAATCAATACCTTTTTAAGTTGTTTTCATCATGTCATAAAAAAATTATAAAAAATGCCACATTGGTGGAGTTAACGGTTCAAATTGACGGAAGGACTAATAGTATGCATTTTTTAGAGTTGAGGGATTACAAAAGTGAAAAAAATTGTTAAGGGACTAAAAATGTGCAACTCACTAAAGTTGAGGGATCAAAATTAGCATTTAACCAAATTGAAATTTTTAACTGTTCGAAACATTTTTTTATGGTTAATTTCTCAAACAGGGGATTGCTCTTCGTCCTCATTGGTGCAATCATCATCAATAGGAACGGTGTTGGTCAGCTCCTGAGCCCTACGGCATTGACATTCCCAGTCAGTCCGGACCAAAATAGACAACATTGTCACTGCACATGAAGCTTGGGCGGCAAGGAGACCGAGCCATAGTCCCTCGAAGTCATACCCCGCAAAGAAACCCAGCCACACCGCCATTGGCATACCCACCAGATAAAAACAACCCAAGTTGATGTTTGCTCCCAATTTAGGCCTCGCAGTTCCTCTCAGGACACCACATCCTGTCGTTTGAGGGCAATTTCCGAGCTCGCAGAGTCCGATGATCGGCAAAACTATGGAGGTCAACTTAATGATTTCTGCATCGTCCGTGAACAAAGTAGCCCAGATTTTTCTCACCATCATGGCGAAAAACAATGCTGACAATCCTAAGACGAAGCTGGAACAGAGTCCAAAAATGGCTGCGAGTTTCGCCTTCTGGGGATTGTTGGCTCCCAGTTCATTTCCAACTCGGGTGGAGACACCAAAGCTTAAAGACGATGGAAAAGTGTATATCAAAGCAGTGGTTTGGATCAAAATTCCCATGGAAGCAACTGTTGCCTTTGGGTTCAGGAGTAATCCACATAACAGAATCATGATTTCGTACCACCACCATTCCAGGCAAACAGAAATGCAGCTTGGAATGGATAAATTGAGCAATGATTTCCAGCCCTTTAAGCAATCCCATGATACTCCACCCCATGTGTTTTTGTACACGCCATAGACTTTAACGTAGACGATCAGCGATCCGACGAGGTTGACATTAGTGAAAACAGAGCTCAAAGCAACGCCTTTGATTCCCAGATTGAGAACAGAAACAAGAAGGTAATTAATCGCAAAGTGGAGAAGCATGGACGCGGATGCGCATAAGGTAAGAGGTAAAGTAATGGATTGACTTCTGAGATAAATACGTAGAGGGTGAAGAATTGATTGTGCGACGAGGTCCGGTAGAGAATACAGAATAAAGGATTGAGCTTCGTCGGCGATGTCTTCTTCCTGGCCGCAAAAGAGAAGAATTTTCTTCATATTGACCCACAAAAAGGCAATGAAGGTCGAAGTAATGAGAAGCAAGAGGATTGTCCTCTGGAGGGTCAGTCCAAGGAGTTTGTATCTTTTGGACCCAAAAGCTTGTGCACAGATGGGTTCCATTCCCATGGCAAGACCGGAGAGAACAGAGTATCCTGTTATGTTGGCAAATCCGACGGCAAGCGAGCCGCCGGCCAGAGCCAGTTCACCCAGCCGGCCGAGGAAGAGCATGGACACCATGGAGCGAGAGTAGAGTAAAAGACCCGTTAGCACCATGGGAAGAACTATATTAACCAGATTTTTTGCTTCCTTGATTGCCAGACAAAGGTGGGTTTCCCCTGGATTTTGGACACATGTTGGTTCCTCATGGTTCAAAAGGGAGACCGTATCGACTTCACCATTTTCCATCTTACCAAACAGATATTAAGGGAAAAAAAAGGAAAGAAAGAAGAATTCAGGGGTTTGAAGCCGGCAAGACCAGGAAACTAGGGAGGTGATGGAATCAGCAACCTTTGGGAAACTGGGGAGGTGATGGAATCAGCAACCTCTGGGAAACTCCAACGGCAAAGTTTGATGCTCCGCACCCAATTCTCACGTATTTATAATAGTAAAGTTATTTATTTATTTATTTAAAAAACTCTTTTAATCTATAAATGAATTTTCATTTGCACAAAAAAAGAAAAACTTTAATTTTCTTGTTGATTGTTGACTATCTATTGTAAAAAGACATTTTAATTAATTAAGAATTTTAAATTTTAAATTAAAAATTTTAAAACTTAAATTTTATGAAA